AAAAAAAAAAATAAAAAAAAAAAAAAAAAAAGAATTCTCTATGGAAATCCTGGCCCCCTGGGGGCTACCCTGGAGCTGTAGGCTCAGAGCATGGAAAAGGCAGGTGCTAGCTCCTTGACTTAACTCAAGGCAGATGAGCCCACAATGAGACGCTCCCTCTCCAGAAGCACTCAGCAGTATCAGGAATGGGGCTCTCTTGGCCTCTGAGGAACCAGTCACGTGGAGGGTAACTCGGGCCGATGTCACCAAGCCACATAATCCAGCATTTAGCCCTGCTGTAAATATTCAGTTCTTTGAGCCCCTGCTCAAATGTCATGCCCATAAGCCCTTAATCATGGCTAGTGCCTGTCTCTGGACCCCATCCAAACTGTCAATGTCTTTCTTGTGCCTGGATCCAGATTTGGCACAGAGTGGATTCCAAATGGAGCTGAACCTGAACTGTGCAGGCAGGGCATGGTCTGCCTCTGCCCGAGACATTAAATCTTGGCATATACAGCCCCGCATGCCACTGCCTTTTTTTAACCCTAGGGCATATGGTCAGCTCCAGTCTTTCGTCAGGGCTATGGCATTCCACGTAAGATCTACAAGGGCATGTGCTCCCTGCATATTTACTTCCTAGAGATGCACGACAATAATGTTAATAAGTTAACATTTATAAAATGCTTTCACAATGAGAAACACATTTACCCAACAGGGTGCTTCTGCCCTTCCAGAGACCTTGGTACTCAATCAATATTGCCCCATACAGCGCTGTTAATATTTATTTTCTTACACCGTGGCTCCAGTATTTGATTCCTTGACATACCACCAATCCCAAATTTTATGAGCTGTGGCATTTTCCAATGGATGCCCTTGGAAGCCTCCGACAGGGAGACTATTTGACACTTTTGTAGGGGGACATCCTGCCATTAATTACTGGTTGCTTAATGACAAGCTAAGAGTCTACAAAACAGGAACTCTACAAAGATGGGGAACAGAGGCACAAAGATTTCTGTGCTTTTTTAAACACACCATTTCCATACCAAGATTCCGGGTACACCTAAAGAAACTACACAAATGTAAGATGTCATCTTCAACACGTTTCTCTCAGTTCCTCAGCTTTTTAACGCTCCATTGTTTCTGCCACTTAGGTCAGATGAACATAAACCATCTTTGGTTGCACAGAAGAGGGAATGTAGATACTCAATGAACATATGAAAAGATGCTTTAACCTCATTAAGGAGCAGGGAAATGCAAATTAAAACAATGGTGAGGGCTTCCCTGGTGGCGCAGTGGCTGAGAGTCCGCCTGCCGATGCAGGGGACTCGATGCAGGGGACTCGGGTTCGTGCCCCGGTCCGGGAAGATCCCACATGCTGCGGAGCGGCTGGGCCCGTGAGCCACCGCCGCTGAGCCTGCGCGTCCGGAGCCTGTGCTCCGCAACGGGAGAGGCCGCAACAGTGAGAGGCCCGCGTACAGGGGAAAAAAAAAAACAAAAAAAAAAACCAATGATGAGACACTGTTATTCACCAGTTGATTAACAAAAATTAGAAAGATCAATGTCACTGAGTACTCGGTGAGGGTGGAGGGAAACAGAAACTCAAATTGATAACATAAGTTGAGAAAAACCTTTCTGTAAAATAATTTGCTAGTACCCATTAAAATTAGCAACACACATTTTTTTTTTGGACCCAGTTAATTCCACTTCCAGAAATCTTGCCTACACAGAAAAGAGCAGGATTACTTCAAAGCACATAATAAAATTGTTGCTTCAAGCACAGTTTGTAACAGAAGAAAACTGGAATCCATCAACAGGAGACTCGTTCATAATGAACAGTTTATTCCAAAAGAATAGCATACAGTCATTAAAAAGAATGAGGTATTCTTATGTTCAGTCTTGGTAAAATATCATTAATAGTTACTGATGAATGAAAACAAGTAGCCCGAATGCAAATATGTATATTCATGATTCCATTTTGTAAAAAATATACACACACAAGACACACACATGACACACACACACAACCTTCTAGGTGCATATAGGCCTGAATCTGTAAGCATGACTTGTATACAAGGTAAAATCAGAAAGAAAATGTACTAAATTGTTAGTGATATACTTTATATAATTAAGTAGTAGGATTAAAAATGTTTACTCTTTTCTCATTTTCACTTTTCAAATTTAAACATAAATCTCTCACACACACAACAAAAAAAGTGAAATAAACCCTAGGGTAGTAGTTGTTTTGTGGCAGAACCACTGCATGTGTAACTCTCCGGCGGACAGACCACAAAAGCCAGGGAGAAGAGAAATCCTGCAGTAACCAACACATGCACAATCCCTTCTTTTCATTCCTCCCTGTGGCTAAATCTTTGTGGAATTCATCAGTATTTTTCATCTGCCAAGGAACAAAATGAGAGAGCATGGGGTTTCAAAACTATGTTCACTAAAAACTTCTAAAAATAACATTTCAATACTGAAACCAAGCAGACTGAAGCTAATGGCCTCAACTCTCTTCTTACTTGTAATCCAAAAACTGGATCCACAAACATTCTACACCCTGTCATTGCAAAGACAAAAGGTGGCCCACACAGGTTTTCTCGGATTTCCTCAGTTACCTAAAGCCTCCACGTTGCACGTAAAACCCCTAGCCTTCAGCTGACAACTGGGAATGTCGACTGAGTTGGTAGGACACCAAAACACCTAGGTGAAAGGTGAAAGGTCAAAGAGCCAGCTGTCACCTGGATGTTTGCTTTCCACATTGCAAAAACCTCTGAACATTTCCAAACACCCAGGTGTTCGATAACAAGCAGAATAAACACCCAGAAGCTGGATGGAAAGTTTTGCTCTGTGCCAAATCGAGGAATGATGTGTCCACATGATGGTAAACACCCCCAAGACTTCCTTCCACCAG